AATGCCTTGTGAATGTGTATCAGAGATTTGGCCTCTTTGGTCCAGTGAGAAGTAAAAAAAAGTTATCAACCGAGACTGGCACAGATAAAATTGCGTGAACACAAAAGCCTTGTGTTAAAATTAGAAAGATTTGGTTTATCTGCAACAACGAGTTGATTCTAAGAAATATTCAATTCTGTATTTGACTTGGGTTGCGGGGCAAAAACAGTAGGCTACCTAACAGAAGGATATCGAGTCTGAATCCCATTGTAGACAATGAATATTTAATTCTGGATTTAACTCGAGCTAAGTTTGTACAATTGGTTGCTTATCAAGACGGCTCAAGTCCGAGTCCCGACTTGAGCAGAAAATGTGTGTAACTGCTTAAAACCTACAAGTAAAAAAAATTAGTTTAGTTCCCATCACTACCGACTTGTTAAAAAAGTTTCATTCTTTATTAGAGATACAATTAGGTACTTTTGTCTATTTTTAGTACCTTCCGGTCGTGGGAGGGACATTTAACATGATCTAAGGAAAATTAATACCAAGTTTCATCAAGATTGGTCAAAGGGTTTCAATTTTTATTCGGGACATACGTACACAATTTAAAAACTAGAAACAGTTTTACAAGCGCTTACCCGGACCCTCGACTTGCTAAGGGGTGCGCGAACAAATATTTATTCGGCAGTCAATGGTAAACGTTTGAGAAACCCTGGTATACACGCTTCGTTTTTTCCTACAAAAAACATTACTGGTGAAGCCTTTACAGTACATATGTTGACTTGACGCTAAATGTTGGGCCATGTTGCAGATGGAACACTTTTATAGTGTGCTTTTATCAATGCGCAGGTGTGTGTGTCTATCAGTCAAGTAACGTGAGTGCTAATACATTGAATCTTTAGACAGGTTCTGAAACAAACTATTGACTTTTTGTCACCCTGAACTTTTGTAATTGCCCAGAATTTTCTTTTCCGGAAACTTGCAATTATTTATTTTTTCTAACACACGCAATTTTTCTCTCTCTATCTATTTATCTATTTAAGTGCAGTAACATGTTGAATGTTAATATTTAAGATTCACGAATATATTAAAAATATTCATTCATCAGTGTAAAGTAGAACATAACAAAAGGAATCTAAATTCTAAGGTACAGAACATCTGATACTTCTTACTACGAGCATTGATAGTATCAAACGCTAATCACAGGACAAGCCGCAGCCAATGTGTTATCAATTATTGCGTTTGGAGCACACTTGGGTGTACGCCATATAGCATAGCGGCCCTTTGTCAGTGTGTGTATACGACTTTTTATATCCAGTTTACTCCAGATTACAGACTGAGTTGGCTAAATTTGAATAATATATTAGTATAAGAAGTAAGCAAATTCAGATCATTTAAAAAAAATAGAAAGTATTTAATAGAACTGTCATAAAGAAAATAAAAATAATATTTGTAATGTACTTTCGCCACCTGCATAAATCAAAAGGCTATTTGTGTAAATATTTCAATGTTGAAACAGGAATAATGCTTTCATATGATTTGAGCTCATTGATAACATTTTCCCTACGATGGTGTATACAATTATAAACAGGCATCTAGACTTACGCGAAGCTAATTGTAGGCGTACACATAACAAAAACCCTACATCATAACAAGGAAGGTAGCCAGTTTTGAAAGGAAAAGACCGGCAGAATACATTGTGTCAAGTTAAAAATAAACAATGTCACGTGAGTAAACAAATGACGTCTACGGCGAGTGTCACTGTCAGCAATAGCTAACATATAGATCAAAATGTAGGCAAAAAGTCAGTGTGCTGAGACCAATCCAAGTTTATTTTTTATATACTGTGTGGAAATAACTAGATAAATACCTAGTAATGTGTCAACATATCGATTGCCTTGGCTTGTTTCCCTTGTAGTTCTGGATTGTTAACATTTGAATTTCCTACACTGCTAATAGACTAACTAGAGTATAGAGTGAGAAGTACATGGCCGACTAGCTGTCGAAATCTTTACGTTGACATCCACATAATGACTGAGATAAACATTGTCATGGAAGACAAGGACATACAGTTGAATGTAAGCGTTCAATTAGTTTTACAATTACATATTAGTATGAAGAGTTGGAATAGTTGCATAATTACATAATTGTTTGCAATTAACTTTTTTTTAAAACTTAACCCTCGCCTGGTGAAGTGGTATGCCTTCCAGAATGCATATGAATTGTCCAGGATCCGAGCCCTGCCTGTCGCATTCCCTTGAAGGAACATCTGAATTTTACAACTCAGCTACCTTTCGGGACAACTTTTATGATGTGATAAATCTATTTAAAATTTGCAAGAGCCACCCAATAGTTTTCAGACAAGATTGCTTAGAGTTAGTTTTCGATCTAACCAGGCTTGTGTTTAAAACGTGTCTTTAACGTCAATGTCTGCATACATGTGTTAAAAATGTTAGCATTTAATATGTCATTTATTTTGTTTTATTAAAATATCCCAAACACGAATGAACGAAATTTGAAAAGAATTATGTATTTTGGTGTTTGAGAGAGACAGACTTGCAAAACTGTGTGTACAGGTTACAAACATGTTAGTACTCACTGGCACAACATTTCAGAGTAACTCCACTAGTGACTAATATTTCTTTAGTGTTAAAATGTGTACAAATGGATAAAATAATTCAGAATTCGGGTAAAACAGTATTCAGTAATGTCGATCGAAAGTGGCAAAAACAGTTTAATAAACACATACATACATATATTAAGGAAATAAGAAGAATTCCCTCACTTGAGTCTAAAATATCCTTTATAATTTAATGTGTCCTAATCAACACTTACTTACTGACTATTATACGGTTTTTTGTCCAAAAATCTACCTTAAGTTGTTGCATTCCTAAATTAGTTAATTAAGTTTTGAATATATCACATCATAAGTAATAAGGAACGTCTATTGTTTATATTTTACATCCAGTGTTTCTCAACGGTACCATTAAATCCTTTGCCCTGTACTTTCTCAACAGACTCATTGTCTGCGTGAGTTATTCAAAGGACGATTTACACAAGATGAAATGCTCAGAGTTCTTCAAGAGTTTGATGAAGATCACAGACAAGCATTGGACTTTCTTATAGGAGTTAGACAATTCTACTTGTAGCTCTAATAGTACACTAACAAAGATAGAAAATTTCCCCTTTCAAACCTTGCTATCTATAGAGCAGATGATATCTATATTCTGTATGGCTTTATGACTAAATGGTTACAAAGCTTATGTCTATCCGTCTGTCTTGTTCGTCTGTCTTGTCCGTCTGTCTAGTCCGTCTGTCTTGTCCGTCTGTCTTGTCGTCTGTCTTGTCGTCTGTCTTGTCTGTCTGTCCTGTCTGTCTTGTCTGTCTGTCTTGTCCATCTGTCTTTTCCGTCTGTCTTGTCCGTTTGTCTTGTCTGGTAAAATTTTTTTACACGTTCATTCTCACAGACCCATTCTTGGAACAAAACATGAATCAATAAAAAAAAAAATTAACAAATAATTATCATTTATTGATTATTAAGTATTTTCTTTTGTATCGAATAAGGGAAGTAAATGCTACTTATTGAGATTGTAGCTGTATACATGGCGTTATCCTGCTTAGTACATGTTGTAGAGAATTTGACTTCCACTTACAATTCTCGGATTAAGTTGAAATTGTGCATAACTATTTATAGATGATGACAATACATGAAGCAATCGAAAAAATAACCAATAAGTGAAATCCATTAGTGATAATTAAGTTTGCTTTATATAAAAAAGTGAGCTTACTCTTGCACTATTAAAATATATGGCAGTGGTATTGAGGTTCTTCTTGCCCTTGTATAAGCTTTGCCTGATATTGATTATGGAACAGAGTTACAAGAATGAGAAAGAGTTGTTGTTTTTTTTCAGAAGATCCAGAACAAGTCAGTGGATTCCTGAGAAAAGTTAGTTTGGTGTTTTTGTTTTTTAAACACTATGCACAATCCAATCTATAATGAATCATATGAAGATTTATATTTATATGTCACTCTCACTCCGTAAATATGCCAACAATAAATGTTTTTATTTTTTCTTTGTTCATCTCTTGTTAGGTTTACTGTGATAGAATATACATCTCACTACAATGTAACTCAACCTTTTTTTTTTACCCTTATTATTTTTACTTTGAGCAGACAACTAACTACACAGAGACTCTGCAAGAAGATTCTCGGCATCTCTTGGAATTCTAGGACAACAGCGAGTTAGTCATTAGACCTTCAGAACGTCTCTTCGCTTGCGTCACGTGCAACAGAAGCTGGTGGAAGAAAGTGCCATACAGAAAAGAAGTAGATTTTTTTTTTTTAGTTCATATCGCAAGGTTTTGTTTCGCTAACAACAAAGTATACTTAAAAGTACAACTTTTTGTATAGGGACGGTATACAGAAAGGATAGGAATGACTATAAACTTACAGCAACATTTAGTTATAAATTTAAAATATTTATAATAGAAATCGTTACATATTTGTGTTTGGTTCTTTCAACAACTACTACATTCAAATGAGGCACCGTGGCTGAGTTGTAAAGCGCTTGGCTTCCGAACCGAGGGGTGCTGGGTTCGAATCCTGGTGAAGACTGCGATTTTTAATTCCGGAACCTTTAGGGTGCCTCTGAATACACTCAGCTTTAATGGGTACCTGACATTAGTTGAGAAAAAGTAATTGCGATTGGTTTTTGTGTTGGGCCCATGACATTCACCGTGGGCCACAAAAACAGATGACCTTTACATCATCTGCTCCATACATCGCAAGGAGTACTTAACTTTTACATTCAAAGCAAGTGAGAAATGAAAGCTAGTGAAACAAAGAGATGAAAGAAACAAACAAAACAAAGAGATACACTTACTGTATTCTTCGACTTTTTCCGAAAGGGTCGAAAACAGATGGAGGAGCTGGTCTGAGCCTCATTTTCCCAACTGTTGGTGTCAATTTTCAAGAGCTTCATGTCGCGTTTTCATAAATTAGTATACCTTAAAAGTTGGCGACCTGCGGCTCTCCTGCCTTCTGTTAGATCGCCATACAGAATATCTTGTTTGCATTCTGTGCACATGACCAAGCCAGACAAGGCGTCTACTGCTGATAACAGCGTGGATGTCTTGGACCCTGCTCCTCGCACAGCAATTCCGCATATTGCTTTTTGTTTTTATTTGGACAAGTTTTTGTTTTTAAATCCGTCTTAAGCATCGGAGGTGAAAGATGTAGCTCTAATAGTACATCACATAGGTCCGGTAGTCTAGGGCTAGCCGTATATCACATAGGTCGGGTAGTCTAGCCGTATATCACATAGGTCCGGTAGTCTAGCCGTATATCACATAGGTCCGGTAGTCTAGCCGTATATCACATAGGTCCGGTAGTCTAGCCGTATATCACATAGGTCCGGTAGACTTGGGCTAGCCGTATATCACATATGTCCGGTAGACTAGGGCTAGCCGTATATCACATAAGTCCGGTAGACTAGGGCTAGCCGTATATCACATAGGTGCGGTAGACTTGCCGTATATCACATAGGTCCGGTAGACTAGGGCTAGCCGTATATCACATAGGTCCGGTAGACTAGCCGTATATCACATAGGTCCGGTAGACTAGGGCTAGCCGTATATCACATATGTCCGGTAGACTAGGGCTAGCCGTATATCACATAGGTCCGGTAGACTAGGGCTAGCCGTATATCACATAGGTCCGGTAGACTAGGGCTAGACTAGTCACATTTACATATATAGGCTACAAGATTCCATTATTTTTGTTTTTTATGTCAGGTATCAAGGTGTAAGAAATGCTTGGTTCGATACGATGCTATCCCTAAAGAAAGAGAATGGGGCATTGGAGTCTTTCATTGTCATCGTACGACGAACTGTCGAACATTCAAGTACGTTATTAACTCTTTGCATTCTGGCTTTGATGCTTTTCTCATTCAGTCAGTTAGACAGAGGTCTCTCTGAAATATTTAGTACGAGTTTGAATAATCAGTAAAATTTGAACACATTTTTTGTTCATAATTTAAACTAAAATCTATTTCTTCTGAATATTTATTTCAATTTTCTTTTCCGACACATTTTTCATCCACACACCATTTTGCTATCGTCTGGTTCTAAATTCAATAGGCCTAAATATTAGAAATGATCACAGAGCACTTTATTGTTGGTAACAGACTAGATCTAATACTTGTATGTCTTCATCTCCAGCACTTTATTGTTGGTAACAAAGTAGATCTAATACTTGTATGTCTTCATCTCCAGAGGCTGGGCTGTGATGGGAATGACAGAGTCTATATGTTACATTTGTAAAACTCCAATGGCTGTCTCAGAAATTTTATCCCCCAAAAAGTCTGCAGGCGCCCCAAGTTCAAAAGATACACATCAGTGCAACGGCTTCAACTGTTACAATAAGTATTGATTAATACATATTTTCGTTATGAGTTTGTAGTTATTATTTGAGCATTATCTGGCCTCTTTATTAACCTGGATAATCAAAGGAAAGAAACAGGTTCACAGTAATTTGGTTACAAGTAGTTTCAAAACCTTTTTTAAAAATTTGATGGTGATTATGTATAGAGGGTAGCTCAAAATACTCACATTAACATTAAATAAAAAGAAGTTCCAACTTTACGAACGCACATCATAAATTGCTCTGAGAAAGACCTATGTTAACTTTAACTATAACATAGCATGGTATGGATTTTGATACTTTGAATCAATTCAAGACAGTAAGTTACATTTAGCTTATATTTAATGAATGTAGGTAAGGTTAAAAATTGCATCGCTCTTGTCGATAGGAAAATCTAATGTTACTAAATATATTAACTATAATTTTGTGAACTAATCTTGGTAAGAAATCTATAACATATTGAGCAAGAGGTATAAAAATATTTTTATTAAATTGTAATTATAAATTTTAGAAATCATCTTCACAGACATAATTGTAAATAAATGTTTATTTTACACATTGAATAAAAAAAAATCTTCTCTAATCAAACGAGCTTAAAGTATTAAATTCAAAAAAAATTTTGTTCTTTCCCAATGTATATTCTCCCTTTTTACACCTATATTTCCTTTATAAAGAGTAGGATTTATGGTCCCCAGGTGAGCTGTTCTGCCTCATCGTGGCACCTGGGTGGAAACGGCTACTTGAGGGGGTAGCTAGACGAAACGAATGGCAAAACATAACCCCCGTGGGGATGCCCACGGGTAGACGAGAGTCAACCCCTTGCACGGGCGGGGTTGTAAAAAAGTCCCCACAAAACTGTCACACATCCATGCGCCGTTCCTCAAAGGACCGTTACATAAATGGCGAGTCCCCCACGGTTAGCTTGGTATAGTGAAGGAAAATGACGGAGGCTCCCGGTGTCCTCGGCCTTCGGCCATGAGTCGGGGGCCTAAGGCATTGGAAACAGCAATGCTTTCATAGGCATTGACTCGGGTCGCCCTCGAACAGAACTGTGTGTTCACACAGGTTTTTTTTTTTTTTACTGTTCAGGGTGGACGACCTAACAGGTTTTTTTTCAAACTTTGAGCTCGAAGAGCCTTCGGCTCAGCTCAGACGACAATCAAACGGATTTATGGTCGGCAAATTTGATATAATGGTATTTCATAGAGTATTGACATAAGAAATTAAAAGTTGACAGAATGATAAAGTTTAAATAGGCTTATATTATATATAGTCTTAAGTCTTGCGAATACACTGAGTTAACCATATCTCGGCATTTAGTCAGATTGGATTGTTTTGCTTCATAATTATATACATTGGATAACATCAAGACTTTTTCTTCTGGTAAATGAATTTGACTTTAAAAGAAATAGTTTAATATAAATGTTGCAAGTCCACTATATAAAAATAATAACTTTTAAAAACAAAAACAAAAATTAGAAGGGAGGGCACTGATGACAAGTTTCTAAGTTTCTTGTGAGAATTGTTTGATCTATCTACGATTTACTTTCCAATTTGGTTTCCATAGGAACAGAGTTGGCGCTGTCGTAAGTTTATTTTTTTTTATTCCGTTAATGTAACCTTTAAGATTTCTCTCTCTCTCTCTCGCTCTCTCTCTCGCTCTCTCTCTCGCTCTCTCTCTCTCTCTCTCTCGCTCTCTCTCTCTCTCTCTCTCTCGCTCTGTCTCTCTCTCTCTCGCTCTCTCTCTCTCGCTCTCTCTCGCTCTCTCTCTCTCTTCATTAAATCCCATGATATCTTTTTTTGTGCTTAGAGATCTCGGTAGCGCTTAGATAATTTACTTGTGAATGTTTGCATTGATAGCTGTGAATAAAAAGTCCCTTTAGCAGACCTCTATGTAGCTAAGGGTAAGGTTACACTGGACCCCAGGGCTAGATCTGTTACACTGGACCCCAGGGCTAGATCTGTTACACTGGACCCCAGGGCTAGCTCTGTTACACTGGGCCCCACATAGTCTTGTAAGGTTTTCATTATCCCCCTTTCGCCAGTATCCCGATTGATTGCTAGAAAGGATTTTATCCAGTGAACAGACCTGGAGGTCTTCACCCCTAGTCCTGTCTGAATTTTCCATAGACGACCATAGACCGAGATTGTGGATCTTACCGTTTACACGGCGCACCTCGCCTCGTTCCTGGGCGCCGCTCGCTATAAGGAGCCTGTGGGCAGCGCCCATCATGAGGGATAAGCCTCATTTTCTTATACAGTAACGACCACTGGTCCACGAAATACCTTCACTCCAGCTAACGGAACAGTGATGACGGCCCCCTGCGTGGAAAAGCTTCGCGAATTTTTGGACTGGGTCACCGAGCTATTTGTTCCATCACCACCCCGAGTGAGATAAAATAAATCGCACCCAAGGTAGCAAGGGATCTTATTCGCTTCCCGCTCTTAACTATACTTCCACTAATAGACATTTCTACGGTGGCCCTAAGCTGAGGCAACAAGGTCTGAATCCTCCGAGTGACTGTTTTAGAATGTTCCCGAAATCGGAAACGTTTTTGTTATGACTTTAGGGAAGATTCATTTTTTATTATAAAATCTTTTTTTTTCGAAAATATAAATCATTTACTGCTTCCTAATAGTACTTCCTGTAATAGGCCCATTTGTTTTTAAAGAGCGAGATAAAGTGATTGGTAATTCTACCTGTCTGACTGTTTGTCTTTCGATCAGACTGTGTGTCTAACTGTCTATCTATCTATTTAATATTTCTGTCATTCTGTCTGTCTGTATATCCATCTGTTTGTTTCTCTCCTCTGGGTCTGCTTTAGGAGGCACTAGACGAAGTAAATAAGTTGGCCCCAAAAACAAAAGAAAAATAAAATTAAACACCATAAAAATTAAATAATGCTATTTCTGCTATTTGTTTAAAACAATCAATACTGGCAAGTAACCAAATTTAAAAAGCAGCTCTTTGCATTCTCCGATCTACGTTTGATTTTCGTTGCATCAGAGTTGAAATAACGTTTTGATATATTCCCCAATAGGAGTAAAAAGGTTCTTCTAACAAGTAGAGCTAAACATTCACGAACAAACCACAGTTAGAGTAAAGACTTACATCTAGGCTAGTCGATACAGATCTCCGCTACATCTATTTTTGACAGTTAATCCAAGTTTCGCAATTTGTTATCAAAATTCTTTTCCTGTTCAAGGCCCCCCCAACAATAGGTGGCCCTAGGTGATTGCCTAGTTTGCCTATGCCTAAGGCGGGCCGAGCTCTCTGCCCGAGCAACGGGCACTTATTTGGCTTATAATTCAAAACTTTATCTAAATATATTAGCTTACAATCAGGTTGTTGTTTCCATTTTCACTTTGGTTATTTAAAAGATGTTCGACTTAAATGATTTAAAAAATGTATTTGTTTCTCTCTGTGCAGGCATCACACGTCTTCAGTCCCACTGGTAAGTTCTAGAGGCATGCCAACTAAAATTATTCTGAAAAACAAAATACAGTAAAGTGGAGATTACTGTTTAAAAAAAAATTGAATCCCCAACTTTAGATTCCAGTAACACAGCGTAGGTTAATGTCACCTTTTGTTTATTGGAGATTTTCACGATCAACTAGCCAATGTCAAGGACGCTAATTTGAACATGTTTGTTGTCAACTAAATCCAAATTATTCAGCAATAATTTTTATCCTTGTCTTAAAGTGTAGCAGTTGGTCTTCGTATTGAATCTACTTCATTAGCGCTGGTTAGTTTCCCATTGGTTTTTAAATTGGTTAAATGTCATAAAGTTAAAGTCGTCAGCTTCCACTTTTTGGCCATTATATTGTGTGCTACAAATGGATGAGAGTAGAACATTTGATTCTGCCGTTCTAAAAATTACGCATCAATTATTGAAAGCCTTTTGAAACAATATAGCTGTTCAATACTTCCTTTACTTTATTCACCGGATACACTAATAGGATTCAGAGTTTTTCCGCGTGGCATGAACATTTCCAATACTTTTGTTCAGAAATTGAGCACACAGTTCTGGTAATTATTTACTTTTTTTAAAAATTGACTTTTTAAATCCACAGACCAGGTTCCTATCTGCGTTCATCCCAAGTCTCGAGCGGCCATGCCTCCTGGATGCTGTTACCTGATTTGGAGCGTGAGGCACGCAAGTTCAGGGTCAACTGTCTCCACCTTCTGGGACCAAGGGAGTCTAAGTTCACGGTCCGGGATCATCCCAGGCTACGAAGGCACATCACCTACACCAGGAACGCTAGACTGACCTCTCTATCAATAAAAAAAAAACAACAACTCAATGGACAGAACCTGGCATTATGTTTTCAATATGAGTCGGCACAGTAACGGACAAATACAAACCACAAGTTTCTAATGTCTGAAATAAAAATGCATTAAATGTTTGAAGTTTTGAAACCAAAAATAGAAATGTATTCAATTTTTTAAATGTTTGTTTTAAGAAGGGTCATGTACTTATACATACAGGAACACAAATAAGTTTATTTTATTGATATAAAATACTACTTTAATAAATATCTTTGCTACACTATTTAGTTGCCAACGTATTGTTACACTGAGATCCTGCTCTTTAACCTATGTTACCCTATGTGATGATTACAATAAAGGTATACTCTGTCCCCTCATTAGCGTAATACAACTCCGTAAAGAGTATAGCAATTCAACACAATCTTTCAATTAAAAAGGCAATTACTTGAAATAAAACACAACTTGGAAAATGAACAGGCACAGCAATATCCTTTTACAGATAATAGCAGAATAACCTACAATTAATGACGGATTCAAGTCAGGAGAGGACAGACGCACAAAAAACGTGTCTACATCTAGTAGTT